GTACGTTATACTACTTTACAAAACAGTTTAGATTAGTTTTCTATGAAGCTGTGAGTGATAGTGGGGAAAAGTAGTTTCGAAAGTACGTTATAGTACGTCACAAAATAGTTGAAATAACCTTTCTAGGAGGTTTTCAGTAATAGTCGGCAAAAGTACTTTTGAAAATGCTTTGTAGTAGTTTAGAAAGTATTTTAAATTTTTTTTTCTTAGAAGTCATGAGTGTTACGAGGGAATAGCAGTTTTGTAAGAATGATGAATTATAGTGGGAAATAGTCCTTTATTGTGCATGAGACATTAATCTATGATACTATTTCCGGAAAGAATTCATGTGAATAATTTTTACCCGAGAAAAGTGTGTATTAAGTACTTTTATTCGTATTTTTTAAGCAGGAGAAAATACTTATAAATGAAACTTTTTATGTACCTTTCATGCTTTTTGAGTCAAAGGTACTGGTGAAAGTAGGAAAAGTATGAGAAGGCACTCTACAAAGTAGAAAAATTATCAAAAAGTAGTGTGATGTGTGAAAAATAGTAAGAACAGTTACTTTATTGTACATTTCTGCTATGAAAAGTGACCTTGGTTCACGGTTCTTTTACATGAGAAGAGGGACAATACGAAATTAATTTGCTCTGAATTTTTATGGTACTTCTAAGTACTTCTTCTGTAGTGATAGTTACAGAAAGTAGTTTTTCAGTTGGAGAATTAATTGTTTTATGAGTTGTCGATTAGAAGATTACTTTTAATTAATTTGAAGAGTTTAAAAATCGTTTGAAGTGATCTGGGCTGGTAAATAGTAGCATATATTAATTCATTTTACATTATTATTGATTAAGTACTGATTAGTGTTTTTTATCAATTTTTTCGTCACGTGGGGTATATATATTTGTTGATATCGCATTTTCAATTAGGTAACAGAGTCTTAAAGTTTGCGACAATTGAACAATGTTTCTGGTTTTAGCATTCGTAACTTTCTGTGTATTCTTGTTTTCGTCAACATTATTCCTGATGGTATATATTTTTGTTTTAAAAGAAAGTAGTTCGAAAATTCGTTATGTTTTGGATAGGCCTTTATGAAACGGTTTCACTCAATATCAAGATTACAGTTGTTAAAAAATCTTTTTAAGCGGAAAATGATAAGAATAGTGAAAAAAATGCGAGAAGCTCCGTTTTCAGGAGCTATGTTCCAAGTTGGGAAAGCGCATGAAATTACATTGTCCATTTGGGTGCTCGAAATAAACACACTTCCCGACAACATTACCCATGTAAAAAAAAAGTGAAAAGAAAATACTAAAAAGTAATTTTTTAAAAAATAAAGTAAAATAAATTAATACTCTCTACTATTTTCAACTTTCAAAATTACTTTGGTCAACTTTTTCAACTTTTTTAATTATTTATCATTAACTTCGCAATCGCCAAATTATAAATAATTAATTTTTCAAGTAAAAAAGTACTTTTTCATACTATCAACAATACAACAAGTACTAAAAAGTACTATTCGAGGTACAAAATGACTTTCAACTAATACCTCTCCTCTTCCGCTCAGAAATAGTACTAAAATGTGCTTTCATAAGTACCTGAAACTACTTTTTTATAATAATTCCCATTACTTACTAGTATAAGCATTGTAAAGTACTTTCTAAAGCATTAAAAAGTACTTTTTCTAAGAACTAATCGGTAATACAACTGAAAAGTACATTAAAATACTTTGCAAAGTACTTAATAATACTTTACAGACTACTTTAAAGTACTTTTCTAGTAATTATTGAGTGACAGTTACGGAAAGTACTTTCAAAGTACTTTATAGTACTTTACAAAATACTTTAAATTACTTTTCGAGGAAGTAGTGAGTGATAGTGGGGAAGAATACTTTTGAAAGTACTTTATAGTACTTTACCAAATACTTTAAATTACTTTTCTAGAAAGGGATCAGTGATAGTAGAAAGAAGTACTTTTTAAAGTACTTTATACTTTTTTACAAGGTGTTTTAAATTTCTTTTCTAAGAAATGGTGAGTGATAATAGGAAAACGTACTTTTAAAAGTACTTTTTAATACTTTCGGAAAACTTATGTGTACTATAGAATCACCATCTTGTTTTGCGACGTGTCAGTCTATATAAGAAACTCTTTTTGAACTGAAAGACATCGTATCCCAACCTTATCAATTCTCTAACATATAGCTATTCTTTCTCTTATTATTAATCTCTCCTCCCCATCCATTCAACGCTGGTAAGTACCATTCGACTTTTATGACACTGGCCTAATTAAGATAATTAAACATTTTCCAGGTGTAGGATCAAAATTACTTTTAAATAATTCGAAAAGTTTTTGAAAGTACTTTTTTATTACTTTCGGAAAACTTTTGTGTACTATAGAATCACCATCTTGTTTTGCGAGGTGTTAGTCTATATAAGAAACTCATTTTTACCTGAGAGGCATCGTATCCCAACCTTATCAACTCTTCAATCTATAGCTATTCTTTCTCTTATTATTAATCTCTCATCCCCATCCATTCAACGCTGGTAAGTACCATTCGACTTTTATGACACTGGTCTAATTAGGATAATTAAACATATTCCAGGTGTAGGATCAAAATTACTTTTAAATAATACGAAAAGTTTTTGAAAGTACTTTTTTTAATACTTTCGGAAAACTTTTGTGTACTATAGAATCACCATCTTGTTTTGCGAGATGTTAGTCTATACAAGAAACGCATTTTTAACTGAGAGGCATCGTATCCCAACATTGTTATCTCGCCAGCATATAGTTATTCTTTCTCTTATTATTAATCTCTCCTCCCCATCTTTTGAGCGCTGATTAGTAAAACTCGCGTTAATGACAGTAGGTTAATTAGTGTAATTTACTGTTTTTCAGTATTGGTAAGAATAGTACTTTTGGGTAGTTTGTAGTTGCTGTTGAGTTGTTTTTTGTATGATCTAGGGTGGTTGGAGTGGGTGACAAAGAGCAGTTTTTCTAATTTAGTGCGATAGGATATTTTAATGGTTTTGTTTGATACTATATGCGCTAGGGTGAATTAGTTTTGTTTGATTTCGAATGAAGTCTTTGGACCTTTAATATAGCCAGTTCTTGATGGAAAGTATGCTTTCCGGAGGAATTATGTCATGGTTCAGGTTGTTTCAAGAGATTGCTGATTTTTTCACGCCTCCTATTCCGCTGCATTTCAATGATGATTTTCCATATATGTCTGGAAGATGTTGGGGTAATGCTGAGGAATAGTTAGATGCCATTTTGCGTTGAATTTTCGGCAGATTAGCTGATAGGTGCGGACGGATGGAGAGCAGTGCATAATTTATGTTTATATAAGTGAGATTTGAGCGATTCCGTTATGTTAAAGTGTGTGTGAAACTAGTAGCTGTAGTTGTTGTGATTTAGATGTTTTCGAAAAAATTTTTTTTCCACTTTTGTAACTGAGAATTTCTGAGTGGTCGATTTTAGGGAAAGGCGCGCTAAGTATGTAATGACTCATACGCATGCAATTTAGCGTCACGTGGATTTCTTTCTGAAAAGTTTGTATGAGATAGAAACGATGTTCGAGCCAGTCGGTTAGTGAGCGAACGTTGCAAATTTGAGAGTTTTAAACTTTGGCAGAAAAAGTTCCCGGTAATTGGTATGCACGATAACATTTAGTGAGATTGTTTCCGGCTTTTTCTCTGATACCAAACGAGGATGGTGGAAGCTAAAGGATAACTGCACAAAAATTGTTGCGAATGTAGTTTCTTAGGTCACTATGGAAGTTATACTCTTTTTAATCTTATCAGTCATTTTCGTTGAGGTGTTTTACCACATCTACATGAAATTAGTTGTTACATCCAGGCCAAAACTTATCATTACCCAATCGCACCCGCACGTATCCCAGGATCTTAACACTTGGAAAGGTACTTAAAAGTACTTTTGAAAAGTAGAAATAGTACTGAAAAGTGAACCTTTTAAACTAGCTATAAATACACTTATAAGTGAAAAGTACATTGTAGTACTTTCCGAAGAACTAGAAAGTACTTTCCGAAGTACTAGGAAGTACTTTTCGAAGTACTTGAAAGTACTTTTTGAAGTAGTTGAAAGTACTTTTTGAAGTACTTGAAAGTACTTTCCGAAGTACTAGGAAGTACTTTCCGAAGTACTAGGAAGTACTTTTCGAAGTACTTGAAAGTACTTTTGAAAAGTAGAAATAGTACTTAAAAGAGAAACTTTTAAAGTAACTATAAGTATACTTATAAGTGAAAAGTACTATAAAGTACTTTTTGAAGTACTAGAAAGTACTTTGAAAAGTAGAAATAGTACTTAAAAGTGAACCTTTTATAGTAACTATAAGTATACTTATAAGTGAAAAGTACTATAAAGTACTTTTGAAAAGTACTATAAAGTACTTTCGAAAAGTAGAAATAGTACTTAAAAGTGAAACTTTTAAACTAACTATAAGTATACTTATAAGTGAAAAGTACTTTGTAGTACTTTTTGAAGTACTAGAAAGTACTTTTGAAAAGTAGGAATAGTACTTAAAAGTGAACCTTTTATAGTAACTATAAGTATACTTATAAGTGAAAAGTACTTTTTATTACTTTCTGAAGTACTTTTTATTACTTTCTGAAGTACTTAGTAGTACTTGTTGCGTACTTTTTATTACTTTACGAAGTAATAAAAAGTACTTTTCACTAAAAAGTATACTAATAGTCACTTTAAAAGGTTCACTTTTAAGTACTTTTTGCACTTTAGGAGAAAATATTAAAAGTACTTTTTAGTAACTTTTTTGGGTTAAAACTTTTACATGGGATACTGATCGTAAATTAACATGGCTTCATCAACATTCAAAAGGAGATTTACAAACATTATATACTAAGTCAAAATATATTTTACATGTATGTATTGATTTAGTATATGATTTAATTTTTATTTGTTTCTTTAATTTTACATATTAAAGGTATCAACATATCAAATGGTAGTTTTACTTTTATTTAATGAATCATCAAATTGAACAGTTGAAAGAATGCAAGATGAAACTCAAATCAAAGTTGATTTATTTTTACAAGTTCTTCGTGATTTATTGAAAAGTAAACTAATAACATGCGCAGAAATTAATGATGATGAATTTAACAAAGATTTTAAAAAGATTGATATTAAAATGAATTATAAAATTCAAATAGCTGATGATTTTAAAAGGTTAGTATATTTTATTAATCATTTGAATAGCTTTTCCAGAATGAGATAAAGATAAATGTTACATGAGAATAGAATAATTAGAAAATGTTAAGAGAGAAAATTGAACAATTTATTAAATAATAAGAGAAGAAAACAATAAAATTCATAATAAGACCATCAAAGCAACATGAGTAGCAGTTAATAGTGTTACAAAAATTTTATTGTAGTTTTATAATAGATTAGGATCAAATTATATACAAATAATTTGCATTGGATTTTTTTCCTTCTGTTGTTAACTTTTATGATGTCTACAAAGCTGATTAATGAAAATTATATTATTGAATAATTTGATTAGTAACTTAACTTTTGTCTCAAAGCTTAATTTAAAAAAATTCTTAAATTTTTTGTTCTAGTAATAAAATTAAAATAAACTTGAATGTACCATTAAAATCAGTCGAACAGAAAGATATCGAAGAATTACATCGAACAATTGATGAAGATCGAAAAATGGTTATTCAAGCTGCAATTGTTCGAATAATGAAAGCTCGACAAACTCTACAATATTCATTATTAATGCAAGAAGTTATACATCAACTAAGTTCACGTTTTAAACCAGAAATATCTGTGATTCAAGTAAATTGAAATTTAATTTATATTTTAAAAAGAAAAACTTTTATTGATAAATATTTGTTTATTATAGAAGTGTATTGATATACTAATTGAAAAAGAATATCTTGAACGTCAATCAAATGAAAAAGATATTCTACGTTATTTGGCTTCAGATATATAATTCAAATGATTGATATGAAAAAAAACGTCGAAAAAAAAAATTCTTCTTTTTTATAATAACATCAACGTCTGTTCTATAAAAAATAATTAAATCGAGAGAAAAAAACATGAAAAATCTGATGTCATTGTTGATTAAAAGAAAATTTTTTCGACGCCTTTTTTCTTCTTTTAATTCTGACAACAAAATCTTCGCTTTCTTTTTCTTTTCTACTTTAAAATCTTTTTGTTTTTTTTACTTCTTTTCCTGAATTCTATAGTCTTTATTTCAAAACCGAACTTTCAATAATAGATAAATACATTGATCACATTAAGATTTTTTGTTGATCATAGTCGTGAAAAAAGACACAACTTGTATTTTTCTGTATACTCTTTATTTCATTTAAATCGTCCATCTTTATCTCTTCAGAGAACCAAATTTATATTTATCTTATATGAAGCCAGTCATAATGAACGTCTAAGTAAAAATCGCACTTTCTAATGCTCTTTATCAGAGGCGTACATAAGAAGAATGTTCAAAATATCTGAACACATAATGAGTCGCTCTATTTCATCTATAGATAGTGATGTTTAATGTAGTCAACTGTCAACACAGTTTTCTTGTTCATCCTTTCTGAGATAATTAGAGTCTAAAAACTATCTTGAGGGTGTGGATGTGGGTGTGGGTATGTATGTGGGCGTGGGTGTGGGTGTGGCTATGTATGTAGGTGTGCATGCAGGTGTGGATATATATGTAGGTGTGGATAAGGGTGTAGGTATGTATGTGGGTGGTCGTGTGATTGTTCTTTCTAGTTACCCACAGCCACAACAACAGCCAGCCCCACTCCACACCCACCCACACCCACATCCTAGGTTGGGTTTGAGTGTATTTTGTATCCATAGGCGTACCTCACAAGCACATCCGATAAATATCATACTATTACGATATGAGCTGTTTGAGCGATTCTCAAGGGATTAAGATGTGACAAAAGATGTAGCTGCTATTGCTTATTAAATGATAATTGCTTTATTCGATCTATGTTTGAGACAAATTTCTTCATCATCCTTTACTTGAATGTCTAGAACTTCAATAAGTATTTCATGTATTCTAATGAGATGTTAATGATATATGGCCTTTAATCGTATAATAATAATATGTATCATACTCTGCAATGATCTTTAAACACTATCTTTCACCCTTTGCGATGGTCTGTTTGTCGAGGATGGGAGGGGAGAGTGAGATCCATATTATTTGCTTATGTACTGTAAGGCTGCTATTCAGATTGTTTTTGATAAAAAATGAGAAAAAACTCAGAAATTCGATCTACACATGACGAATAATGTCTGTCGGATATTATAATGAACAAGCACTGCTATTGTAGTTAAGTTCCTTTCTTGAAAAAAACAGACTAAGATTATGTAAAACCAGATGAAATCGTACGATAAACCATGGTGTATCACCTAATACAAGACAGAAAGATTATGCTCGTATCTTACAATATGACCTGATGCAATTGTTGTAGATATTATCATTTTCAGTACGATTTTTATCTGATATAATAAGAACAGAAGAGATCAGACGTAAGATCTTGTAAGACCTTACCATTGGATTGTTTACCTGGGGATATTTTGTACGATTTTATCTGATCTTACAGTATTTTACGTCTGACTTTTTAAGCTGGAAATCATAAGACATAAAGGATGAGAATGAAAAAAAAGAGTTCTACAAATTGGTAGTTGTCACGTGGTGACGACAAACAGGACAGATACGTGTCATTGATAGCCACTGATCTATACAATTTGCATGCAAGAGATGACCGCACGGCAGCCTTTTTATATTGTCATTAATCTTAAAATCCGTTTGACAGATGACACTAGAAAAATATAAAAAGAATGAAAAGTAAGAGGTTGCTATTGAAGATTTTTCTTGAATCTTTCTTGCTAACCATTCAGTTTGATTGAACTTATCGAATACTTGACCGAAAACCACAATTGGCAAGTTATCGATAGCATCTGAGGACGCTGGGGGATGTTGATAGGTATTAAAAAGACTATTTAGTATACCATTCTAAACAAAGATAGCAAAAGTGAAATTTCGAATCTTTTAAATAAGACCCACCCAAATTGCTTCTAAAATTGGACCAACGATCGCTGTGCACACCCAACCTAAAAAATAATTGAACAACATATTGGTAAGACGAAGAACGAGAAATTTCAGAGGCCGTAGAATGAGTGGAGTAAAAACACGAATTAATTGCCATATCCAAAGACTCTTGTAGAAATTAGGAGCCAAAACTGAGCAAGATCCACCAGAACGTGGTTGAAAAAGAAGAACGGCTCCTATTGAATAATAATAGACGATAATGATACTTGTAAAATAAGACACCGTATAATGAATAGCTGATAAATAGGCGAAAAATCTTCGAAAATTTCTCGTTTGATAAAACAGCTGATTGAGAATGACAGCAAGCATACTGATAACGATGGTACAAACAGCTAGAGCAAGCCCAATATAGGCATATGATTTTAGTGGTGCACGAAAATATAGATCTTCAATACGGGTATATACGCATTCTGTACTTTTAGCTTTAATCATGGCAAATGCCACAACACCGAAATAAACACCATTGTAAATAACCGATATGAGAAGACTAAGGTATTCTCCTATTAGCGATCTTTGTGTTGGAAATGAAGGTTTTGGTGGCCAAGTAAAAATTGAAATCCATGCATTGAAACACACAATCCCAAGATAGAAACGAATAAGTTCGCAGTCGTTATTTTTCGGTTTTTTCGAGCTAAATACAAAGACAGTACTAACGCAAACGAATATAAATTTGAGAAAATGAAAAACACTACGTAGATCAGATGCTTTATGATATTGATTGGAACTTGTGGGATCGGACAGAGTTCTTTTGTATAAAAGCCAGTTTCGTATGGAAAATAGAAGAGTAATAGCAAGTGCAATGCTACCCAAAACAAGTATGAAAGTTGATAATATCACAAGAGCATTAGATATGCCACATGCTTCTCTACCATAGTAAAGACCAATAGCGAGAAGAATAATATCAATGATATTGTAGCATAAACGAAGTAGACAACCAGAAAATATTCGGTCAAGGCGAGTTAACGAATCAATCCATGTCGAAGATTGCCTATTGTCATCATTAACCGAAACTAGCATTCTGCTTGATGGATTAATTGCATCACTGTGAATGTAAGAACTTATCCTATGAGTAACCAATACACTGATTTCATTATTCGATTGATTAACGTTGTTTGATATCGTAGACATAGTAAATGAGTAAACAAACTATTTGAACAAATATATAAAAAAAATCGATTTTTTTACAGCAATAAACTATTGTGTTAAGTAAAACGAATACTTTCTAGAAAAAAACGAGTCATGAATCAGAGTTAAATTTGAAAAGAGTCAATTATATATTTCTTTTTTTCTCTCTCATACGCGCATGTCGTACATGAAAGTAAAAAATCTGATCAGTAGGAGAAAGAAAAAGAAAAACATGTAAAATGCAGTCAACGGTTACCTGACTCAATGACTCATCCTCTGTGAATATCTACGTCCTTTACGCTATTTTCCTCACGTGTGTAAATAACGTGGTGGACATAAATTTAAGACATTTTTGTTTTTGCTATAAATCAGCCACCTTTATAGATAGAGATCTGTTTCTCTCAACGTTAGAAAGACATCGCTAAGTACTATGTTACGTAGAAAAAATGTGTGCATGTGAGTGTAGGTAATTCTTCTTCAATCAGCAACATCCACACTCATACTCACACACACCTGCAACAATCATCAACCACACTCAAACCCTTATCAAACTCTCTCTAATCATTTAAAATTATCTAGAATACGATATGTCGCTTAAAATATTACAAATATATTTTGTTATTACAAAATATGTAGCGTAAAAGTTTTCACTCAAGATTAGTAAAATAATTATAAGATGGTTATAGATTTATGTATTTCAAATTATTTTTTTCAGATGATAGATCTAATCTTCGTCTAGAAAATGGCATAATTCGATTTATAACTTTATAGAAGTTTGTTATAAATATCATCGATTTACCAAGTGTGGTTGAAACTTTGCAATCATCCTTTATTTTATCGTTATTTTTTCTTACATCAATAAATACCAACTGACATAATATCCTGACATGTAACATATGTGTCAAAAGTTGATCTAGTACTGTATTTACCATTTTTTGAGCCACAAAGTTCGAGAAAGTATTCCAAAAATTGGAATTTCTAAATTAAAATTTCAGAAAAGTACGATTTAAGAGCATCGTGGTTAAAATCAGACGAAAACCACATATTTTCTCTTTTTTTTACATGAATTATCTGGTTTCCTATCAGTCAATTCTCTACCATCATTTTCTATTTTTTTTTATTTAAAAATCCTTCGTAATCAAGAAAATTTTCAGCCGCCGTCGCCCATCAACTCGTCGTCGTACAGCTATATTTTCGTAACTGGCATCAGTATCGTTCTGTGACAAATACGCACAACTATGCGTATGATTATGTACAAAATGCACTAGAAAGCTTCTAACATAGAATATTACGATTATTTGAATGTCAAATGCTACAGTTCTATCGATTGAAACATTACCAGTGGAAATATTTCATCATATTTTCGATAATCTTGATGTACAAACAATCTTATACTCGATTCGACTAGTATTAAGACTATTTCGATCAGTTGTTAATACTTATAATCGATATGTTTTGGATTTGAATTTGATTTCAAAATCAAATTTTTATCTTTTTTTGTCGATTAATTCATCCCCAAAATTTTATTTCATTAATACTTTCAAATATTGAATGAACATCAGATCAAATCGGTTTGTTTATATCACTCGTTTATCTTCCACAATTTACTCGACTTCGCTCATTAACTCTTCTTGTTATTAACGAATTGCAATTAAACTTCATTTTGAAAAGAATCAATCTTAATATACTCCATTCATTCTCATTACATACTAGACAATACGATAATGGACTCATAG